GGTGGGGACTTTGATGATATAGTCATTTCGAATCTTCTCCGACTTGCTCTGCTCCAGCCACGCTGACCTCCTTGCTCTTTGTCAAACACACAAAGATTTTCTTGGCTTTGGGCCTTTGCACTTGCTGCTAGTGCATTGTAACTGCCCTCCTTTGCTTGTCTGGGTCCCTCACTTCATGGTGTGTCTGCTTAGCATGCTTTTCAAAGAGGCATAGATCAAAAAAATAGTACTTCCCAGACTATCACGCCACACTCTCATACTTTGCTTTGGTTTTCTTCAGAGCATTACCTAACATATTTCTTTCGCGCACAGCGACACGCACATTTTTTTGTTGTTTATTTGTCATGTCTCCTGCACCAGAGCGTGAAAAAAACGTCATCAGTGGTGGACAGCACATCTCCTTCTTGTTCACTGCAGAGCTTAGAACATGTAATATCTTAAGTAATTGATTAATTAACTAACAATGAAGAGTTTTAGGAAGATTGGCATACAGGATGAAAATTTATAACAATCTAGACAACAGGCTAAAAAAAATGAAATGGGCAAAAATGCTTGGGTTGCCTCAGTGGACTCAATCTTCCTCCATAAATTAAGGATTGTGGAAGTAAAATGACGGTCTCACACACCTTTGGAAATGTGACTATAAAATATGCGAGTCCAAGTTTGTAAGGAAACGTTGCCGTGAGCACTGAGCGGCCAGGAAAACTTGAAGGAGAGAGCAATGGAGAGAGAATCTACGTAGAGAGGGCCCTGACCTGGCGTTACGAGTTTGCCTCTCACCCCATCAGACCCCCTGAGATAATCTGAAGTGGACTAACTCAAATTAACTTCTGGGCTGGAAGTAAGTCACAAGCCTCCCCCTCATTCAACTGGAGGGAGATGGTACAGGTATACGCGTCAAGGCAGGGATGATGGGGGCCCTCGTGGTGTCTGGTCAAATGCAGCCTTTAATACAAACGATCTTTTCCACTTTCAGCTTTGTCTACGCTGTGGTCAGTTTGTGAGCTTCTTCCCTTCACTCTTCATCACCTGCTTCCTGAGCACTTTTCAGAACTTGGTTTATGTAGGACTTCTTTACATTCTGCTTTCTGATCATCCTATAAAAACTATAGGCTGTTGTTCTTTTTTTAATAGCATATTGCAACAGCTTTATTGCATATCATATAATTCAGCTATTGAAGGTGTACGATTACATGGATTTTTAGTATATTCAGAGTTGTGCAACCATAGTCATAATCTAATTTTAGAACATTTTCTTCAGCCTAAAAAGAAATCCTCTGCCTGTTAGCAGTCATGGCCCATCAGTCACCCCCACTGGCTCCCACCAAACACTCACCTACTTTCTGTCTCTGTATATTTGGCTATTCTGGACACACAATGCAAGTGGAATCATATGATTCGTGGTCTTTTGTGAATGGCTTCTTTCACTTCACATAGTATTTTCAAGATTCATCCATGTTGTAGCAACTATCAGAACTTAATTCCTACTTACTGCCAAATTCCACTCAATAGTGTACATGAACAATATTGAGTTTACCCATTATCAGTTGTAGATGTCTGGATTGTTTCCAGTTTGAGGTTATCATAACTAATGTTGTCATGGACCTTCATGCACAAGTTTTTGTGTTGACATGTTTTCACTTCTTTGGGGCCTGTCTCTAGGAGTGGAGATCTCGAGTCATATGGCAATTCTATGTTTAACATGCTGAGAAACTGCCAAGCCATTTTCCAGAGCGGATGCACCATTTACACTGCTTCTAGCCATTATGGAGGTTTCCGCTTCTCCGCACCCTCGTCAACACTTGGTACTCTCTATCTTCTTTGTTTGCTTGGATTTCCTTTTTGGCTTAATAGGTGAATTTTGCCAAACATTTAGAAACATAAAAAAATTAATATAAACTTTCAGAAAATCGAGGAAGGAATACTGCTCAAAACATTTGTAAAGCCAGCATTATCCTGATTCCAAAATCAACAATACATAACAAAAAAAGAAAATTATAGAATAATATTCCTCATAAAAGTATATGCAAAATTCTTAATAAAATAGCAAATAAAATTCAACAATGTGTAGGATGATGATGCATCATTACTAAATGAGGTTTACTGCAAGAATATAAAGTTGATTTAACTTGTAGTGAAAACTAATGTAATTTACCATATTAATAATTAAAATGGAAAATTATATCTTCTCTAGAGGTACAGATAAAAACATCTGACAAAATTAAATGCCCATTACGGTAAAACTCTCAGAAAACTAGGAAGAAAAGGAAACTCTGTATTCGTTACTAACAGTTATACACTTAAGAGTGACAAACTGCACTCAAGCCTGTTTAAGATTAACAGCAAGACAAGAATGTCCTGTCTCATCACTTTTATTGAACATTATGCTGGAAGTTCTAGGCAATGCAATCAGAAAAGGAAAATAAATAAGACAGAAACATTGAAAAGGAATAAGGAAAATCATCTTTATTCACTGACAACATAATTGTGTACTTAAAAATTTCCTCCCAAACTAGGCTAATAAGTGAAGTTAACAATTTTGTAAGATAATGTCAGGAAATGATTCTTTTTAAATCTCTAAGATTTCTGACCATCTTGCAAGGAGGGGCACTAACTGCCTTTGTTCTAGGCTATGTTTTGAAGATGTATATGTTTGTGTAGATGTATGTTTATATGTATATGTGTGTGTATGTGTATATGTAGATGTAAAATGTAGCAAACAGCTACGGATGATAGTGATAATGTTTCCCCCCTAACCCCAGAGCAAAAGATAGGTTTGCTGAGTATTCAGAATAACACACATAGTGCCTCTTTCAGGGCCAAAGTTCAGGCAGGCTCACTGTTTAGTATAATAGAATCAGGTCCCTCAAGTTTGGGTTCCCAGCCTGGACCACACCCCACTGCACATGCAGGCACCGCTTGGTCCTCTTCATGTTGCCCAGTAAGGACCAGGGCCTGGGGAGCTGAAGCAACAGCCATACCCTAGTTACTGCTAACACCATGAGGAATAAGCTGTCCCTGGTCTCTGACCTAGAATTCTCTTGCCTTCTACCAGCATCCACGAGACCTGTTAGTTTGCAAGTAGAGCAAAACCTTAGAGCCTTCAACATTCTTGTTAGGTACAAGAGACAATATATAAACATCAACTGTTTCAATATGCTGGCCACAGTTAGAATATAAGTTAATAAAGAACACGTGTAAAATAACATGAGAAGCATAATACAGTAATAAATTTAACAGAATGTGTTTGAGGCCTTTTGCACTGAAAACTATGAAAGTATGGCTGAGAGAAATTAAAGACCTAAGTAAATGGAGGATGATTCCACGTGTGTAGAGAAGAAAATGTCAATCTGCCCATGGCACCATCTGAATCTTCAGTGGAACAGAAGAGAGAAATGGTCCGTATCTGCCAGTGAAGGCACAAACCCTTCCAGCCCAGGGACAGTGCCCTGAGGAGGCTGTCTGTCAGGTCCCATCACAGAGATCTCAAGGTCCCATGGGCTCTTTCATTCTCTCGGGAAATTTCCTTTTGATTTCTACTCCCCATACTCAATTTCTAAGGAACCTTGACTAGTGTCAAAAACTTTGAAGGATCAGAATTTGCTGGTATGCTGCTTTTTGTTGATTAAAAAAAAAATGTTGTTGAAGAGCAACAGCCACCAAACCTAGACCCAAGAGAGGAAGGACGGGCACAAGTTCCCAGGTGACTGGCCAAAGCCGTTGGCGGTGTGAGCCCCTTTCACCGTCTGTAAAATGATGACAGTCCCTGCTCTGCTCTGTCCATTCACCAGCATCAGTGCTCAGACTGAGCTCAGAGGCACAGGGCTTGGCAGATGAGTTTACATGTGGTGTGACCTGAACAGCCGAACACACTAGAGATGAAAATGGAAGACCCCGGGAAGTCCTTGTCACCAGAGATTATTTCACAAGACTTTTGAAAAGGTAATAATGGAAAGAACTCATATTTGCAAGCAGGAACATAAGCACATCTGGAATTATATATCTGTCCTGCCACCCAGCCACTGGGGGCAAGGTGGGTGTGAACCTTCCAGGGCCCCATGGGGCATGTGTCCCACACCTAGGATACTCCATCAGTTAGGGGTCACTTTTTCCCCACCTGTCTGGCCTGCCCCAGACAGTATTCTTCACATAAACCTCCCTTAGAATTTAATAAAAGGAAAAAGAAAAGTCATCTACTTTCAAAATGTGATTTAAAGAATGTAAACAAGAAATAAAACAAACCTGGAATTTGAAAGAATATGAAACTTATTAGATATTAAATATAAAAATAAACACATCCAAATGGGAACCCACCAGCCAAGATGAAGACATAGGTAAATACAATGTGCCTCTTCACACAAGCAAAAGGACAACAACGAATTTAAAAACAAACAACAACTAGAACTGCCAGAAAAACAAAATGTATGGAAGTCCAACAACCAAGAAGTTAGAGAAGAAATATTCATCCAGACCTGTAGGAGGAGCAGAGATGGGCAGCTGGGTTAGAGAGGACTTGTAGCAAGGAAGGAGCTGAAGGACTTGTCAGGAAGAGGGGTGCAGATGGCAGCTGGTGGACCTGGCAGTCCCACATTTGCGAGCAGATAAAATGGGAGGAACAACTGGGGAACAAAACAGACTGCACAACCCAGGGCTCCAGTACAGGGAAATAAAGCCTCAAACCTCTGATTGAAAACACCTGTGGGGATTGTAGTGGTAGGAGAAATTCCCAGCCTCACAGGAGAGTTCTATGGAGAGGCCCAAAGGGCCCTAGAATGTACAGAAACCCACCCACCTGGGAATCAGCACCAGAAGAATCCAATTGGCTTGTGGGTAGCGGAGGCAGTGACGAAAACCTGGCCAAGAGCCCAGCAAGCAGCATTGTTCCCTCTCAGACCCCTCCCCCACACATAATTCAGCTACATAGTTGCCCTGCCCTGGCAATTACCTACGGGTCCACCCTTTACTACCTAACAGGCACACTGAGACAAAAAATATATGGCCCAAATGAAAGGACACATTTTTCATAAACAGCAGTTCACTAGTGAGTGTTGAGACTTTCGGTCTGAGTGAAAAAAAAAATGAAACAACAGATCAAAGCTCAGAAAAAATACAACTAAGTGATGAAGAGATTGCCAACTTAGCAGATACAGAGTCCAAAACACTGGTAATCAGGATGCTCACAGAAATGGTCGAATATGGTCACAAAATAGAGGAAAAAGTGAAGGCTATAAAAAGCGAAATAAAGAAAAATGTGCAGAAAACCAAGAGCAATGGGAAGGAAATCAGGACTCAGATAAATGATTTGGACCAGAAGGAAAAAATAAACATTCAACCACAATAGAATGAAGAAACAAGAATTCAAAAAAATGAGGAGAGGGTTAGAAACCTATAGGACAACTTTAAACATTCCAACATCCAAATCTTACGGGTGCCAGAAGGAGACGAGGAAAAGCAAAAAATTGAAAACTTATTTGAAAACATAATGAAGGAGAACTTCCTTAATCTGGCAAAGGAAATAGACTTCCAGGAATTCCAGAAAGCTCAGAGAGTCCCAAAGAAGTTGGACCCAAGAAGGAACACACCAAGGCACTTCATAATTAAATTACCTAAGATTAAACGAATGGAGAGAATCTTAAAAGCAGCAAGAGAAAAGGGGACAGGTACCTACAAAGGAGTTCCCATTAGATTATCAGCTGATTTCTCAAAAGAAAACTGGCAGGTAGGAAGAGGGTAGAAAGAAGTATTCAGAGTCATGAAAGGCAAGGACCTACATCCAAGATTACTCTATCCAGCAAAGCTATCATTTAGAATGGAAGAACAGATAAAATCCTTTCCAGGTAAGGTCAAGTTTAAAAAATTCATCATCACCAAGCCCTTATTATATGAAATGTTGGAGGGACTTATCTAAGAAAAAGATTTAAAACACTATGCACAGTAAAATGACAACAAACTCAAACTATCAGCAACCAAACCTAAAAAATAAAAAAAATAAAAAAAATAAAAACTAAGGGAACAACTAGAACAGGAACAGAATCATGGAAATGGAGATCACAGGGAGGGTTATCAGTGGGGAGGGGGAGAGGGGAGAATGGGGGGAAGATGCAGGGAATGAGAAGCATAGATGGTAGGTACAAAATAGGGGGAGGTTAATAATAGTATAGGAAATAGAGAAGCCAAAGAACTTATATGTATGACTCATGCAAATTAACTAAGGGTGGGGATGAGGGTATGAAGGGAAGAAAGGGGTAAAATGGGCCAAATGAAATAGTATAATCAATAAAATACATTTAAAAAATAAATAAACAAACAAACAGATACCTACAACATTCCCTTCATTCTCTAGCCTTTCAGTCCTCAACACGCAGTAAAAACATCCCCACACGAGAGTGTCTAGCCAAGACTAAAAGGCAAAATGCTTTCCAAAATGACAGAAGCTCAGCATAAGGAAGTTGACAACTGAGTCAGGTGAGCCCAGTCCTGAGGGGGCCCACTGTTCATGTAGGCACCGCACCAGGTCCACACTCCAGCACCTGGAGTGGAGGCTGATGTCAGGGACTCGCTGAGCATGGGGCCTGGCTGACATCACTGGCTGGGAGGCACCACTTACTCCCTCTGTGCCCCCTCCAGTTGCCTCACTGTCAAATCCTGCTGCTGCTCCACTAGCCCCTGATAGACCCAATGCATAGGGAGTCCTAGCTGCAGAGGTTCATCCACAGGGATGAGGTGGAATCGGCCAGACTCCTACCCTTGCAGATCTTGCCATGAGACAATGTCAGCTTGCTGTCCAGAAGCAGCAATGGAGAAGCAGCTCTTCCTCCAATCTTGGGAATAGATGTCACCCAGAGGATTCTGAGGCTTAATCAACACAAGATCACGTTCCCTGCCTAAGTCTAGCCTCAAGCAGGGCCTGCTCTCATGTGTCCACAGGAGGCTGGAAGGAACAGATGTTCCCATCAGTGACCTCACAGCCCAGGTAAACAAGAATCAGTTCAACTTTCACATTCCAGCTGAAGATAAAGATGAAGCCACTGGGCATTGGAGGCAGAAAGGCCTCACCTAGATCACAGGGAACCTCAGCCAGCGCAGAGCAGGCGGAGCAGCAGCTTTGCACAATAGCCAAGTTTTGTGAATCGAGGTGGGCAGGTGCCTGAAGTCATAGGTCAGGACCGGGCTACCTCTTCCCACAGGAATGATTGGCCTCTTTAATTGGGATGTTGCAGCAGGATCTCCTCAATGCAGCCCATGTAACCCCAACTCACCCCAGCTCAGCCTTCCAGTGATCAGATCAACACAGAGCTTATTCTCTCTGGTATCAGGGTTAATAAAGCCCAGGGCATTCTTGTCCTCCTGGTCTTTGTCTCATTGGTAGGTCTTGTACCACTGGAAGCTGGAGTGGTATAAGGCAGAGATGTCTCCCATGGTTGGACAGGTCCCAGCTGACATATGGAACTTCAAGATTAGTGAACAAGCTGGTCAGCTTGCTTGGATGGGTTGGCCCACTTTCCACCTTGACATCATCACTAGGGTCTTAGGAAAGGCAAGGCAGGTGAGCTGCAGGCAACCCATTGCCCCAGACTGTCGAAGGTGACCACCTGGCACATTTAGCAGCCCCAGAGAGCTTTCCACTCAAGCATGGCCTGACTGTGCATCCGATCTTCCAGCAACCAGGTCCTGCTGCAGGTGCCTGGTCATTAGCTGCATGATGGGCTCCTCTGTGGTCAGCGGCCAGGTCAGCCTCCTCTCCATTACTAGGTGTGAAGGCTATGCTTTCTCTCATTTGCAGCAGGGCATCTCATCTGGCTGCAGGGCATGAGGAGCCTGTCTGGTGACTGACACTCTGGGTGTTTGTATTCACCTCAGTAGGCTGGATGGAACTTTGGTCTGTTTCCGCTCCTTTCCCTCTGATCTAAAATCCTTAAGTCTGATGAAATCATCCTTGTTCATCAGGGCTCAGAGACCTTTCCACTACCCTCCTCCTCTCACTAAGCTTGCTTACCTGTTTTTTGTGTGATAGCCTCCCCAGTGAGTGTGAAGGGGTATCTCACTGCAGTTTTGATTGACATTTCTCTACTTACTAATGATGTTAAGCATCTTTTCATGTGCTCATTAGTCATTTGTGTATCTTCTCAGGATAAATGTCTATTCAAATTCTTTGTCTATATTTCAACTGGGCTATTCATCTTTATATTATTGTCAGAGTTATTTATATATTCTGGATACAAGTCTCTTGTCAGATACATGATTTGCAAATATCTTCTGCCATTTGTGGGTTGTATTTTCATTTTCTTGATCACATTATTAGCAGTGCAAATTTTGAAATTTTTGTGTGGTCCAATTAATTTACTTTTGTCCTTTTATCTCTTTTTAGTGTGACATCAGAAAAACCATTGTCTAACTGGTGATCACTAAGGTTTACTCCTATGTTTTCTTCTAAACGTTTTTTTGGATCTGGCTCTTACGTTTAGGTATATGATACATTCTTAGTTCATTTTTGTGGATGGTGTAAGGTAGAACCCAATTTCACTCTTTTGCATGTGGATATTCCATTGTCCCAATACCATTTGCTTAAAAGACTATTCTTACTCCCAGTGAATTACCTTAGGACCTTTGTTAAAAATAAACTTGTCTGTAATGTAAGAGGTTCTTTCTGAGCTTTCAATTCTATTCCATCTATCCATATATATATCATTATGCCAGTACCATACCGTCTTGATTATAGGAGCTTTGTAATAAGTTTAAAAGCAGAAAGTATGAGTCATTCAACTTTGTTCTTCTTTTCCAAGATTGTCTTCACCATTCACAGTCCATACCCTTTACTTTAAGCTCTTGAGGAGACATCCTCCCAGTGTGGTTCCAGGCTGACGTGTCCTTTCTAGCCTTTCCTCAAATGCCAAACCATCCATCCCCTTTGTTTGGAAATGTGTTGCATGCCTGCCCAAGTTATCACAGATGGCAATCAACAGTGAGCACAAGGAGCAGCTGGAAATCAAGGGCAGGATGGAAAACAGGGTCTGTAAAGAGAAAAAGACCAATTCAGGTCACCAGAAAGTTTTTGAATAGGATGTTATGGAAACAAAGTGATGGTCACAGTGAAAAACTAGATCATAAATCTTAAAATAAACTCCTAAAACATTCTCCTTGTGTTTTTCTTTTCCTCGTGTGGACTGAGTAGATTGTGTTGACTAAGTTAGTTCATTTTCTCAGACTCCATCAAACTAAAATAAAGCTATGTTGTTTCTCATGCTCTTATTGCAATAGATCCTGCCTTTTGGCCTTTGTAGCTAGTGTTCATGAGCTTTTTCTCATCCTTTAGAGATTAAGCACTTCATGCTTTCATTAGGATAAAAGGAAAAAAGTATCATTTGGTGAAGCACTTATTATGAGAGAGTCACTAAAAGTATACATATAGAAGGGCTTTTGAGATCATGTGTCTATGTGTCGACTCTTTAAATTGTCACATCGTTCCCTGTCACATGGCCAGAGAAAGTTATTGCTCTGATTTTATAGAAGTAAAAACTGAGGTCCTATGAGGCAAATTGACTTGCCTAGATAATGAACATGTCAGGAATAGAGCCAGTATCAAAGTGCATTTTGTCAGCCTCCTGGGACTGAATTCTGTCCTCTAAAATGACGTGTCAAAGTCCTAACCCTGGTAGCGTGAATGTGACCTTATTTAGAATACAGTCTTTGTGGAGGTAGTCAAGTTAAGTTGAGATCATTAGAGTGTGCCCAATTCAAATAGGACTAGTGTCATTGTGAGAAGAGGAACACCATGTGACAACGTAGGCAAAGACTGGAGTAATGCAGCTACAAGGCAAAGAATGCCAGGTTTTAATGGCAATCCTCCCAAACCAGGACTAGGTGAGGAAAGATTCTCCCCTATGGACTTCAGAGGAAGCCCAGCCCTGCCAACACCTTGATTTTGGAATTTTAGCCTCTAGAAGCCTGAGACAATATATGTCTGTTGTGTGATATCATCTAGTATTTGATCCTGTGTATGGCATACCTAAGAAATTAGTACAGATACTGTCCATTCCTTAACACAACACTTAATAACAGGACTACTTCTA